TGTGATATTTGCCCAGTATATTTGCCCTAATATGTGTTTATGAAACTAATATTTTCACTGAAAATACACTAAAATCATGATTAGTGGACATATGCAGGGCGAACTTTACAAAATTCCTGCTAAATTTCTACTAAATATAAAAGTTAAAACTGTATTAGGTTAATAAATAACAAATATTTGTACATTTTTAAAATTGTGCCTTTTTGCTTTTGCAAAACTGAAGGTGAACAAAATTTGTAGATAAAATCAATTTTCTCTACAAATCTGAGGTTATCATTTTTCACTTACAGCTTTCAGAGCTTGTAAAAGATCCCATAGACCATATATCTTCTGAAAGAACATGACCTATAGAAAAAAAAAATGTGCTACTGATTTTTTAGGCCCCGCAATAGTTGCGCAAATGTTCATGAAATTGCAATTTTCACTAAAAATACAATAAAATCATTGTTAGTGGCTACATACATGGCAAAATTTACAAAATTCCTACTAAATTCCTACCAGACATAAAAGCTTTAACTGTATTGAGTTAACAAATAACAAATATTTGTACATTTTGAATTGCGCCTTTTTGTGAAATGATGAAAACTGAAGGTACTCAAAACTGTAAATAAACACAATTTACTCTACAAATCTGAGGTTATCATTTTTCACTTACAGCTTTCAGAGTTTGTAAAACACATCCCAAACCATACATTTTCTAAATGCACATGACTAATTGAATAAAAAAACGCTACAGATTTTTTAGGCCCTGCAATAGTTGCACAAATGTTCATTAAAAATACACTAAAAATACACTAAAAGTATTAGTAACGCATACAAACACAACATAACATACACAATTCCTGCTAAATTGTTACTAAGGCCTTGTTTACATGGGGCATACTAAAATATATGCCCATGGAGGGCCATGTTTACCCTCATTGGGATGCACAGGTGTTCCCATTCATATCAATTGGGATGCAGTGGCTGCATGAGCACAGCTGCTGCTCCCAATCTGACATCCGTTTGAGTGTGGGTGCATAAACCCAAATGCACCCAGACCCACATGGATGTTAATTTTGGAGCAATGAACATGTTTGTGCAGTTACTACATCACAAATTGCATCAATGGGACTTCTTGCAAAGGGATGCATAGAACACCTGTGCATCCCTGTATAGGTAAACACAGCCTGGCAGGCATACACTGTAGTATGAACAAGGCCTTACTATGTTTTTTATTTTATTATTTTATTTTTTTTACAATTTTATTTTTTATTGTTTTGCATTTTTTTAGGGGGAGGACTTTGGTGAGACTGTTTCTTTTTTTGAGACAGAGGAAGGGACTGAAGACAGTCCCTTTCTCTGCAGCCTGATCTGTACTGTACATGAATGGATATGAGTCTGTATAGAGACTCCTATTCATTCAAAATGTGATGAATGGACACAGGAGCGATCAGTACTAATCACTCACTATGTCCATTCAAGGAAAGGAAGGGGCCCCCCCTTCCCCCCCCCCCCCCCCACTGCTCTCCATCCTGACAGCTTCCCGGGCCCTGTGAACCCAGCAGAAACTACAGCCAGGGGAAGGGGGAGGAGATGATGCCGTTAGTCAGAGCTATCTGTTTGTTCAGCAGAGTCTGCTGAACAGTTTTGCTATAAGCTCAGGGTCACAGAAGTGACCCTGAGCTTAGAGCAGAAGGAGGAATGTCTGGCCTGTACGGCATACATACCTGGCCAGCTGGAAGCAGTGCTGTAGGTCTGTACACTGTACTGACCTGGCAGCGAAAGGGTTAACAGTGGTAAATATGCATCTCCCCATCTGTAATGGAGCAGATAGCATTAGCCCTAAAATGGCTCCTCATATATATGGGTATAATAGCATGAGCAACATGTATGGTGCAGGCGAGTGTGACACCAAGCATGCGCAGCCAGAAAAGCCATGCATGCTCAGTGGTGCTGGGGGAACTCAAAAGCAAACCCACCAAATACCCACCCCACCCACCGCACAAGGAAGCCAGAAGCTGACAGAAAGATTGAGACCTGCAGTGCGCATATGTGCACTGTCATTCCCAGCAACCAGGCAACTAGGACACCCACTGGTGAAGGGGAGGAAGCAAGTGACAACTACCACACCCTACCAAGGACCAAACCATCCCCACCCACCCTGCAACTATAGCTACAATGACAAGTGGCTTCCCCATCACACCGCCATGGAAACCAACAAAATATTCCTAGAAGTGTTGGTTTCCCAGTGGAAATTAGGGGGGAAAAAATTCCACTCAATGGGTTCATGTTTGGCGGCACAGACAGGTAAAATATTTTAAAGCTATTTTTTTTTTCTTTGAACAGTGTGTTTGCATGGTTACAGTGATCCAGCTTGGACACCAATGCTATAGTGATCCTCACTGTCCTCTGGGTCCTGTGCCAACGCAGGTGCCATTCAGAGAACACCTTGAATTTTTTTCAATTACTACAAGGCATTCTCTTATTGGACAAGGTGGAGATTGTGACATCACTGCCCCACCTCTCCACCTTATCCAATCAGGAAAAGCTTTCACTGACAAAATGAAAAGCATTCTCTTTGGTTTCTATGCATTTGGGTAGCCACTTGACACAGATTCCAGAAGATAGCAAGGATCACTGTAGCAGCAGTGGCCACTATCACAGGGGTCTCACTGGTATGGAATGTGGATACTTACATTGGCCCAAGCTGAGCCAATGTAACTATGCAAAAAAAAAATCTACCTGGAATTCAGATTTAACATCTTCTTTTACAGTTATGCCTTTCGTCAACAGCATTTTTATCGTGCCAGGAAGCCAAGAAAGTGGAAAGTTTTAAAATACTCTGACTAATGTCTGAGAGATGCTTTTTGTCACGGTTATTGCTAGTGTTTAGTTACTCAATTCCACAGCTTACACTGGACCCAATCAGACTTTTTCACAGGCCACTAGAGGGAGTATGGGATGTACATAAAAGAATAAAGGAAACCATGAATAGTGAATGTGTGCAAGGTATCAATTACAAATATAACTGCATAAGTGAAAATAGTGAAGGTTTTCGTTTGTTTTTCAGATTGGCATGCAGCACACTAAAAAGGAGCTTCTTCGAGTGTGGGATGCGTAGTCCAAAGGATATTTGCCCCACTGCAAGTGGTATTTTGTCTTTTTGAAATTAAAATGTCTAGGTGGGCATACTTGGATCTATACTGTATATAATTGGCACAAGCTGGTTTTAGAACCAGAGTTGATTCTCATGCCCCAGAAATCCACATTTTTTGTGCTGCCAATAAAACCACATGTTTTATTGGCAGCACCCAGAACAACCATAAAACTGACCATGCTGGGATGGATCTTCTCTCATGCCTAGCATGGTCAGATTGAAAAAGGCTAGCTAGATCATCAGAAATTGTACACAAAGGAAGTAATACAAACAGAACAGGATATGTTTTAACACAATAACATGGTACAACAGACACATATCAGGAATATGGAAAGTTGGGGTAGCACATTCTTTATTACCAACTGTAAAATACTTCAAATGTCTTATGCGACATTCACATGTCTTTTCATGGTCTTAAACATGCAGGAAAATGACTTGTGATGTATGCACTATGGGGTGCAATTTACTTTTTATTGCCCATCAACACATATAGACAGACAAACTATCCCATCTAACCCTCCACACACAGCAACATATACACTAAAGAACACATATGTTGTCTTGTCTTGCAGTTCACTAGAAAAAAAGCAGGTGTGTTTTTTGGCTGTGGCCATACATTGAGAGCCCTTTAAATGAATAGGAACATGCACTACTTTGTACATCAAAGTATTAAAGACTTGGATGGCCTCCTTCTCTGATCTACAAATAATATGGCCAGACCTTGTTCCAAGAATTATTAACTGTGTTTCAGGATCATTTTAGTACACATTCCCTCCCAGACAAAATGCCGGAAGCTATAATAATTGTTCTCCCTAAATGAGGGAAGGAAGCACCCCTGCCAGAGTCATATCATCCCATTCACTTCTTATCTTAGGTGTAAAAATACTGGCTCATGCCCTTGCAAATGTACTAGCTGCATTCATGACTAAATTAGTTCATACAGACCAATCAAACCTTGATCCTCCTAGTGCCACAGCTATAAATATCAGATGCCTGTTTCTTAACAAGCAAATTCCTTCAGATAATGTGGGTCATAAAGCTATTCTATCACTTGATGCTGTAAAGGGATTTGTTGAATATTAATACCTGTGGGAAGTTCATGCTGTCTTCGATTTAGGCTCCAATTCCATCAAATGGCTCCAAAATCTATATCCCTCTCTTACTTCCCTCCCCAACTTGCACCAGAGAGAAGCAATACAGGATGTCCACTGTCTCTGCTCCTTATTGTTCTGAAAGCCCCTGACTGCAACCATAAGACAATAGGAAAGTATATGAGATCAATGGATAGATGCCACTCAGACCAATCATGGGAGTTCAGTGTAGGTGAGATGGCCTCAGCCGCCACACCGGTCACGCCCCCTGATGCGTTTCATCCTGTCCACCAGGGCTTGATCACAGAGGTGTCTCTGTGAAATAGTGGGCGGGGTGAAATGTGTCAGAGGGCGTGGACAGAGCAGCAACTGAGGCCATCTCACCTACACTGAACTCCCAGGATCAGTCTGAGAGGCATCCATCCACTGATCTCACACAGTTTCTGAAACAGTAGTGGATGCTGCTCCCATTTTCCTCTGTCGGTGGGGTGATTACTTTCCAGTGCTTCCTGGCTTGGAGCGGCGCCATATGTCTCCAATAGGAAACTATAGTTGGTTTTCATAGGGAGGCGAGGGAGGAGACAACGCATTTCTCTTTTTCGGTGATACTTAACGGTTGTTCTGCTTCCGCAATCTAAGCACTGAAAGCATGACCTCTATAACTGATCCAGTTAAAGTGAGATAGCTTTAACTTACAGTCTCAGTAGCTTGGCAGACAGTGACTCGAATAATTTGTGCAGATTATGTCAGGGCTCCGGGTCGCCTGGCAAGACTGCGGGCACCGAGTCAACTGGCGGAACAGCGGGCTTCGAGTCGTCTGGCAAGACTGCGGGCACCGAGTCGTCTGGCAACACTGCGGGCACCGAGTCGTCTGGCAAGACTGCGGGCACCGAGTCAACTGGCGGAACAGCGGGCATCGAGTCAACTGGCGGAACAGCGGGCTTCGAGTCGTCTGGCAAGACTGCGGGCACCGAGTCGTCTGGCAAGACTGCGGGCACCGAGTCGTCTGGCAAGACTGCGGGCACCGAGTCGTCTGGCAAGACTGCGGGCACCGAGTTGTCTGGCAAAGACTGCGGGCACCGAGTCGTCTGGCGGAACAGCGGGCATCGAGTCAACTGGCGGAATAGGGGCACCGAGTCGTCTGGCAAGACTGCGGGCACCGAGTCGTCTGGCAAGACTGCGGGCACCGAGTCGTCTGGCAAGACTGCGGGCACCGAGTCACCTGGCGGAACAGCGGGCATCGAGTCAACTGGCGGAACAGCGGGCACCGAGTCGTCTGGCAAGACTGCGGGGCACCGAATCACCAGGCACGACAGTGGGCTCTGACTCAATTGGCACGACAGCGGGCACCGGGTCATCAGGTACCGGATTGTCTGGCTCGACAGCGGGCATCGGGTCACCAGGTATGACAGCGGGCACTGGGTCACCAGGCATCAGGTCATTTGGCTCGCCAGCGGGCACCGCGTCATCTGGCAAGGCAGTGGGCACCGAGTCACCAGGTACGACAGCGGGCTCTGAGTCAATTGGCACGACAGCGGGCACCGGATCAGGTACCGGATCATCTGGATCAACAGCGGGCTTCGAGTCAACTGGCCTAATAGGATCGTCAGGCTGGATCAGTTCATCATGCTGAGTAGCGGCATCAGGCTGAATGCAGGCAGGCATCCCGCTGAGTAAAGGCATCAGGCTGAGTAGAGGCATCAGGCTGAGTAGAGGCTTCAGGCTGAGTAGAGGCTTCAGGCTGAGTAGAGGCTTCAGGCTGAAGAGAGGCATCAGGCTGAAGAGAGGCATCAGGCTGCGTACAGGCATCAGGCTGCGTACAGGCATCAGGCTGAGTAGAGGATTCAGGCTGAGTAGAGGCTTCAGGCTGAGTAGAGGCTTCAGGCTGAGTAGAGGCTTCAGGCCGAGTAGAGGCTTCAGGCCGAGTGGAGGCTTCAGGCCGAGTGGAGGCATCAGGCGAGTAGAGGCATCAGGCCGAGTAGAGGCATCAGGCCGCGAGTACAGGCATCAGGCTGAGTAGAGGATTCAGGCTGAGTAGAGGATTCAGGCTGAGTAGAGGCTTCAGGCTGAACCACGGAAGGCAAGTTCACCAGTTTGGATACTGGCAGGATGGTATTGGTTGGAAAGAATTTTCGCTTTTTTCTGGTTTTAACTACTGGAGCACTGCAAGTAAACGCAGGTCTGCAAACGAATGGAGCAGCTGGAGACAGAGAAGAGCTGGAGGATGGAACAGGAGAGGGAGCAGTTGCTACAGAGGGCTTTTTTACAGGGTTAAAGGCAGGATAGGTGCAGCGAGTGGGAACAGGGTACTGACATGCGGTAGATAGCAGGGCAGGAGGAGCTGTTTGGAATGCAGGAATAGAGTTTTGAGGAAATAGATTAGAAGCAGGACTGGGTTTTTGTAAGCTGACTGAGGCTGGGTGCAACAAGTCTGTCCATGTCTGCAGTATGGGTTGAACAAAGCTGAGCTTACACAAAGCCTGTCTGACCAAAGACTGCACTGCGTTTATACAATCTCTTAGTATCTGTGGTGAACATGCAGCATAATGCTCCAAGAAGCAATCCACATCATCCTCTAATAACCACACCAGGGACTCTACCTGTCAGCACTAAATGGCGGCAAAAATTCATCCCTGCATTCGGGGGTACCAGATGAAGCCAACTCAGCACAAACCTCAATCAATGGCTGCACCTCAGAGAACTCTATGCCCTGATCTACTAGAACATGAGCGAGCCGTATACATTCTAGCAGTTCATCCCGGGTATAATCCTTCAGAGTCTGATAAGCATACTCCCTGTCATCAAACACTAGCAGATATAAATACACAACCTCATCAAGATCCATCCTTCCCAGCAACAAGCCAAGATGGCTTCCCTGTGCAGCCACTTCTGGTCAGGATTGGCCTCGGTGTAAATGTCAGGGCTCCCGGGTATGACCAGAGGTGTGTGACTGACGCAGGGAAACGCAGACTTCAGATATGTTATAAACTATGTAATTTATTAACACTAACAATACAAACATAAACGCAGTGCAATACTAAAACATAACACAGTGCAAACAAACCAAACCAACCACCCACAGATAACAGTACATACAATGCAAGCATCGTCAGGCAGGCCGGGTCAATATCAATTGGGCAGGTAGGTACAGGGGAGCAAGCGGAGAATGGTCGGGGTCACAGGCCAGGTTCAGCAGGTAGCGGGCAGCGTGGTACAGAGGGTCAGGCAGAGGAGAATGGTCAGACAAGCCAGGGATCAGAGCAGGGTCAGCAGAGAATCAGACAAGAACAGGGAACAGGGAGCAGGGAGCAGGGAGCAGGGAGCAGGAACAGGATACAGGGCCCAGGAGAAACACAACACCAAGCCCGAGTCTGCAGGTCTGAATGTCCCTTAAATACACCAGTATAATTAGTTCCAGGTGTTTGACTGGCTGCAAGGTTGAGTCTCTGATTGCTGGGAGCACCCGCTGGCCAGCCCTGGTACTGCAGCTCATAAGGCAGCTGAGTCCCACTATTGCTGGCCAGTCCATTCCTGACAGATTATAACAAATGAACATCAGATAGATAAAAAATCAGTGTGTGTCTAGCTCCAGCAGAATATAGTACATGTGATGAATGGACGCTAAACCATGAAGAAGAAGGGTAGGACTAACTATATAGAGCAGGGTTCCTTAAACAACGGCCCACAGGCCACATGCGACCCGCCGAGACCATTTATCCAGCCTGCCGGCAGGGGCGGGACAGGAAGGGACACTAAGTACAGGGGTGGGCAGGGGGCTGCTGTACCTTACCTCCCACGATGATCCAGTCCAGGAAGCGATGCTCCTTCATTCACTCCGGTCACTCCCTCACTCCTGCCGCTCGGCTCCGCCTCCTCACCGGTGATTGGGCGCCAGAACTGTAGCTCAGAAAAGGCACACAGGCGGCCAATCACCTGCGAGGAGGCCCCACAACATTGAGTGAGAGAGAGGGCCGGAGTGAAGAAGGACAGCTGACAGGTAAGTGTGCCGTGCTGATGGTGCTGCTGCAACCAGGTATGCTGGTTGCAGTAGCACCTAGGCTGGGGTCAGCAAGTTACGTGTCATTGGTGTCACTGATACTAATGAAGGGGCATTATTCCTTCCACTGACACCAATGATGGGGCACTATTCCTCCACTGACACCAATGATGGGGCACTATTCCTCCACTGACACCAATGATGGGGCACTATTCCTCCCCTCCCCACTGACAATAACGATGGGGCACTATTCCCCCCCCACTGACACCAACGATGGGGCACTATTCCTCCCCCCCCACTGACACCAACGATGGGGCACTATTCCACCCTCCACTGACACCAACGATGGGGCACTATTCCACCCCCCACTGACACCAACAATGGAACACTATTCCTTCCCCCACTGACACCAATGATGGGGCACTATCCCCCCCACTGACACCAATGATGGGACAATATCCCCCCCCACTGACACCAATGACAGGACACTATTCCTCTCCACTGACACCAATGACGTACTATTCCTCCCACTGACACCAAAGATGGGGAACTATTCTTCCCACTGACACCAATGATGGGACACTATTCCTCCCACTGACACCATTGATGGGGCACTATCCCCCCCCCCACTGACAACAATGACATACTATTCCTCCCACTGACACCAGTGACGGAGCACTATTTCCCCCCACTGACACCAATGACGTACTATTCCTCCCACTGACACCAAAGATGGGGCACTATTCTTCCCACTGACACCAATGATGGGACACTATTCCTCCCACTGACACCAATGTTGGGACACTATCCCCTTCCCCCACTGACACCAATGACGGGGCACTATTCCCCCCCCCCCACACTGACACCAACGATGGGGCACTATTCCTCCCCCCACTGACACTAATGATGGGGCACTATTCCTCGAACTGACACTAATGATGGGGTACTATTCCTCCCACTGACACCAATGATGGGGCACTATTCCTCCCCTCCCCACTGACACCAACAATGGGGCACTATTCCTCCCACTGACACCAATGATGGGGCACATTTCTTCCCACTGACACCAATGATGGGGCACGTTTCTTCCCACTGACACCAATGATGGGGCAATATTCCTCCCACTGACACTAATGATGGGGCACGATTCTTCCCACTGACACCAATGATGGGGCACTATTCCTCCCACTGACACCAATGATTTGGCACTATTCCTCCCACTGACACCAATGATGGGGCACCATTTTGCTCCATAAGACACACTTGGGGGGAAATGTCTGTGCGTCTTATGGAGCGGCCGGCCCAGTATTCCCGCGGCCGTTGTATGTCCGCAGTCTCTGGTCATCTCCTGTACTGTGTCCGCAGTCTCTGGTCATCTCCTGTACTGTGTCCGCATTTGTTCATAGTTTTTTTTTATTTAAACTATAGTCCGGCCCTCCAACGGTCTGAGGGACAGTGAACTGGCCCCCTGTTTAAAAAGTTTAAGGACCCCTGATATACAGCATCCCCTAGATACAGAGTGAGATAGGGACAAAATGATTAAAGACAAACAAACAGACACTGCATGTGTAATATATTAGTCATTGTCCTCTCTGATGCAGCCCATAACATTATTTGGCTCTTTATCTGGTTTCAGTATAATTATTGGGACAAATTGCTCGTACTTCCTCTTGACCCCATGGATCATTTGCTGCCAAATTGTGCTTCTCAAATCCAGATTGTGAATTTGTTCAGATTTTTAGGTATAATTAATTCTATTGACCTCTCAGATTATCCTAATTTTGACAAATTCAAAACTGTTGTAGCAGGTGTAGGCTGCCCTTATCAGTCTTAATGAAAACCTAAATATTCAGAATCTAATATCTAAACAAAACAGTTTGGGCCACAATCTGCTGTAGATCTCACCTAACTCACTAATCTGGATTACACAAAAATAGTTAAAAGTAAAAGACTCTTTTTGGAATTGAATTTGGAAAAAGCAACATTCTTGTATAATGCTATCCACCCTGCAATTACCAATAGACTGGCAGTCCCTCATGCATCACAGTCACAGCACTTGGTGGGCTGGAATAATAATGACTTGGGGAACCCAGTTCAGGGGTTCCTGCAGTCACTCTCCTCTAGGTATCCCCTTCATTCTCAATTGGAAGTAGATACTTCAGCAACATTCTTCCATTATCCCAATCTTTTATTACTTGATGAAAAATGGCACACATCAAAGCATTTGGTTTCCGATATGAAACAACTTACAATATAAGGAACCTAAAAAGTTGCAAGTAATTGAATTCTGGTATACTGAGGAAGTGCATTATATACATCAATTGTATACAAATAATGTATTCCAAACTTTTTGAACACTGTAGGAGAAATTAAGCCTTCTGAGTGCCGGTTCACATACTGTAAATGCGGATTGGATGCGGTTTGAACCGCATCCAATCCAAGTGACATTTGAAATAACATTGCTTCCCATGGTGCCTGTTCACATACGTCTGGTGCACTGCCAGTGTGAATTCAGTGTGGATTGAAAAAGAGTCCTCTACGATTTCTGAGCAGTGCAGTCTGGTTCAGATGCGAATTACAGGCTATTGACTTCTGTGAGAACCGTTTTTAAACCGCACATGTGTGAACAGGATAAAATCCTGACCTGAACCTGTCCTGAGCCTGATGTAAACCTGACCTGAACTGCTGAACAACTACTGTGTCAATTAGGTGTGAAACCTGAGCTTCAATCTGCACCGCACATGTGTGAATCAGCTCTGAAGGCTAAATTCTTACATTACTTGCAGCTAAAACATGTACTTGGGATCTCAGGTTTGCACTTGATGTATATCTTTAGTATACATGCCACTGGTATCACTTTTTGCACAAACTACAATAAAAATGTGCAAAACTGTATGCATTGTTATACTAAGAAGTGCTGGCCAAAAGGTGGTGGAAGGAAAACCTAGGCCTCTTTTTCAAAGGAACTTTGAGAAAAAACTTTGTGGTCCCCAAGGTATCCTTCTCACCATCTCGGAAACGTACCCAGCTATTTATCTTGTAAAGAACTTATCATGTCCTCAAAAATTGTTTCAGTGGCACTGTTGAGAAAGTCACGATTGACCTAGATATAATAAGGGCTCCGCTTATTTGTGGCAACTCTTTAAACTCAACATTTACTGGCAAGATATTTTATCACACCATAACCAATGTTTTTTCAGATACTAATTCCATTGGACCTGTGCATCTGCCTATTGGGCACACATAAAAGGCAGAACCTTCCTCAGGAGTTATTCCCTCTGATTCTCAGACTAATATTTTTGTTGCATAAAATGATTGCCTAAAAGTGGCTATCCCTGAACCCACAGTGGAGGAGTGGAGAAATCAAGTCATTCTTACCTTATCTAGGAAAGAAAAAATGTTTAACATAGCAGTTGCATTAAAATGTTTGGTAATCTCTGGGACCTTTGGATACCCATCCCTGGTCTAAAACCTATTTCTCAAATAAATTAGAGACTACTACAATAACACAATACTCTCTGAGCCATATGTGCTCTCTCTCTCTCTCTCTCTCTCTCTCTCTCACACACACAGAGGAAAGGTCAGATCTAGTTTGTGTTTAAACTTTGGTGTACTGCAGATTCTTCATGTCCAATGTGAATTTGCGCAATGCTTTTTATGCAATAAAGACCTTGGTGGTACAGGACAATATGTATACCCTGTTCCAAATTATTATGCAAATTCTTTTTAAGTGTCACAAAGATTAAATATTATGTTTTTCAGATTAACTCATGGATGGCATTGGGTGTCAGGGCTCTTTTGATCACTGAAAACAATCTCGGACACCTGCGATAATTAGATTGGCAGGTGAGCCCAATTTAGGAAAAACTACTAAAGGAGGGTGTTCCACATTATTAAGCAGAACACCATTTTCAAGCAATATGGGGAAGAAAAAGGATCTCTCTGCTGCCGAAAAGAGTGAAATAGTTCAATGCCTTGGACAAGGTATGAAAATATTAGATATTTCACGAAAACTTAAGCGTGATCATCGCACTATTAAGAGATTTGTGGCTGATTCAGAGCACAGACGGGTTTGTGCAGATAAAGGCACATTGAGGAAGATTTCTGCCAGATCCATGCATCGGATCAAGAGAGCAGCTGCTAAACTACCATTACATAGTAGCAAACAGATATTTGAAGCTGCTGGTGCCTCTGGAGTCCCACGGACATCAAGGTGTAGAGTCCTCCAGAGTCTTGCAACTGTGCATAAACCTTCTATTCGGCCACCACTAACCAATGCTCACAAGCAGAAACGGCTGCATTGGGCAGAAAAATACATTAAAACTAATTTTAAAACAGTCCTGTTCACTGATGAGTGCCGTGCAACCCTGGATGGTCCAGATGGATGGAGTAGTGGATGGTTGTTGGACGGCCACCCTGTTCCAACAAGGCTGCAACGTCAGCAAGGCGGTGGTGGAGTCATGTTTTGGGCCGGAATCATGGGAACAGAGCTGGTCAGCCCCTTTAGGGTCCCCGAAGGTGTAAAGATGACCTCCGCAAAGTATGTGGAGTTTCTGACTGACCACTTTCTTCCCTGGTACAGAAGGAAGAACTATGCTTTCCGTAATAAAATCATCTTCATGCATGACAATGCACCCTCTCATGCTGCAAAGAATACCTCTGCATCAATGGCTGCTATGGGGATAAAAGGAGAGAAAGTCATGGTGTGGCCTCCATCCTCCCCTGACCTCAATCCTATTGAGAACCTTTGGAGCATCCTCAAGCAAAAGATCTATGAGGGTGGGAGGCAGTTTACATCCAAACAGCAGCTCTGGGAGGCTATTCTGACATCTTGCAAACAAATTCAAGCAGAAACTGTCCACAAACTCACAAGTTCAATGGATGCAAGACTTGTGAAAGCTGCTATCAAAAAAGGGGTCCTATGTTAAAATGTAACGTGACTTGTTAAAATGTTTAAAAAGTTAAAATGTTTGTTAAAAGTTTGATTGAAATAGCTTTTGATTTCAGTAAATATGCTGTAAACACAACAAATGACAATTTTCAGTTCTTTACAACCTATAAAGTGTTTTGAAACTTACTGTATGTAATAATTTGGAACAGTGCATTGTAAGTGTTTTATGTTTAAATAAAAATCCTGTTATCATTAGGAGGTTTGTTCAATAAAATTTGAATTGCACACTTAATAGTTGATAACATGAGAATTATGCTGACTGTTATTTACATCAATTATTTAGGTAAATGAGAAAAATATAATTTGCATAATAATTTGGAACACAGTGTATATCTGATAGATCTTTTATGTTGGAATAATTCAAGCTGTTGTGTTGTTGAAATCTACATCTTGATGTAATGCCACTGTAACCTACCTTAGTACACATAATGACACAGTAGAGGATCTGAGTTGTATGCCTGGCGTTGGAATTGCTTATTTGCTGGCAAACAAAAAAAAAATCAATAAAAAACATTTTAAAGGATAAGTTCACCTTTGAAAACGTTACATGTTGCACTGATTTTTGGGGTGTAACATGTAACATGTTCCCATCACTGCAGCAGCTGCTCGATCTCCTCCCTGTGACAGCAGTACAGGGCGAAGTTCCCCGTACTAGCTGTCAGTATTTGAAAACAGCGGGGCTGTGTTGGGCTGCGCCCCCACACGACTGTATCATTAATTTACAGAGTTCTCTGAATGAATGAATGAACTATACGTTCTGACAGTCTTTGCAGCTCTCAGCTTGTATTTCTCAAAGAACTACCACGGTGTTGATGAGCACTGTGGCAATTTGCTGAGTCTTCCTGCATGGCACCAGTGCAGGGGCAGACTGACCATTTGGAAACTCGGCACTGCCCGAGGGCCTGGGGTCAATAGGGGGCCCCATGAGATGCCCCTGGTACCTTTTTCATAGGCTTTTTTGAGTTTGGGCAAGGACACAGGGGCCCCATGATCCCCTATTGCCCGGGGACCCCATGAGTTGTCAGTCCGCCCCTGCACTAGTGATCTGTTGTTCACGGTGCAATGCTTTTCAGGCTCCAAAAAAAAAAAAAAAAAAAAAGTAAATGCACATTCTTTTTAGCTGCAAAGAAATGGGTATTTATTTATTTATTTAATTTGACATAAACTTATCCTTTAATCCAATGCTGTTTTTTATTGATGACATAGATTGTGCAATACAGAGTATG